TTTATTTATTTATTTATTTATTTATTTATTTATTTATTTATTTATTTATTTATTTATTTATTGAACTCTGAAGGTTCCAAACACTTTTCAAAGGCAGCGCCATATAAAGCATATTACAGTAGCTCATCTGGGATGTACCTAAGGCATGTGTCTCTGTGGCCATATCAGATATTTCCTGGAATGAGCACAGCTAGCACACCAGTTTTAACTGTGCAAATGTACTGCTGGCCACTGCTGAAATCTGGACATCCAGGCTCAGCGATGAATCCAGAAGCACACCAAAGCTGCGTACGTGCTTTTTCAGGGGAAGTATAACTATTTGTTTATCTCCCTTTTGACTGACCAGGAGCATCTCTGTCTTGTCTGGATTAAGTTTCAGTTTATTCATGCTCATCAAATCCATTACTGATGCTAGACACTGATCTAGAACTGAAACAACTTCCTCAGATTTAGACAGAAAGAAAATTGGGTGTCACCAGCATGTGGGTAGTAGTGAACCCCAAAACTCTGGACAACCTCTCTCAATAGTTTAACGTAGATGATAAACAGCATAGGGGACAAAATAGAACCCTGAGGGATATCACAGGCCAATGACCAGAGTGTTGAATAGGAGTCCTCCATCACTACCTTTTGAATTTTCCCCTCCCAGAAACAGTGGTCTCTAAGTCCCATTCCAGAAGGAAAGCCCAGAAAGATACTATGGTCTATGACATCAAAGGTTCAGCAGAACTGTCATTTCTTTTCAAATCAATGAAGTATGTGTAAACAGGATTGTGGACTTAACCTACATGAGAATTACAGTAGTGTAATGGAAACCATTTGCTGGTCCTTCTTACTAATCATGTGGAGTGGCAGACTGCTATAATTCCAGAACATGGGATATGTTGACCTCAGATTTTAGAGACCCAGCTATATTGCCACTTACCAAGCTCTGTCCAATATTTGCTGTTTCTCTTGGAGTTCTCGCTTAAGGCTCTCCACATCTACCTTCAGCTCGATGTTCTGAAAGAAAGAAGCAGGAATTAGCACATCATCTTCAGCGGTGGAATACCTCTGCCCTTGGAACTCAAATCCGAAAGTGGGGTAGGGCCACACAAGAAAGCCTGCTTGAATTTTTGAAGGAAGGGCAGAGCAGACATGTTTTAGCTAAACAAATGAAATCATAAAAAAGAGTAGCCCTTGTAAGCTCTCACATCACTATGCTGGTTTGCCCTCAGACCACCCAGGTCTGAGGAATGCACATGTATTGAGAGTGCATAGACACAGTCTTCAGACTCTGGGTGCAACTACTTTGCCCATATAATCAGAGAATCATGTTGAGGTATTATTGTCTCAATTCATGTCATATGCTCTTTGCGTAGCTGTTTCTGTTCTCATAGGACAACCTAGATTGAGCAGGATTGATTTGGTGCATCTTTCAATGTCCTTTAATAGATCTGAGGTTGGCACTTGGATCCACCATGGCTCTGTCCTGACTCTGCATTCATTCTGTCCTTGTCCATAACCATCTTGTCCAGAGTTAATTTTTTTCTCTTTTTTATTTTAAGTGGCATAGCGCTGCATCAATGTTGCAGACAGAAAGACTGCAGTGCCTATTTGATACAGTGCTAAAGTCAAAGAGTTTATTTTAAACCAGATTTTAAAAGGGAAACAGTTTGGACTGCAGGAATAATTTCTGATTTCTTGATGGGACAGAATCATGCATCAATTCAAGCACACCATGAGGACGTCAGCACAGAGAGTGCTCCTGCATACAGAGTACAACATGACCATTCACATAGCCAAAAATAGCTTAAAAAAAACAGCATGACATAGAACGATTTAAAATAAACAGCCTCCCAACATGATTTGACATCTTCTTCAGACCTGGTGGCTAATCCCTCCACAGGCATCTGAGAAATGTTGCTAGGTCATTCAATTGTGCTTGATTACACTTTTTAAAGGACAGGTTGGAAAAGCACTCCAAATATTTTATATGTTAAGGCCCTCTACCAAGCATTACTTCCCCTAACAAGCTGGAAAAAAAAGGCTTACTTTCTCTCAAGGAACCAAAATGATTCACTTTGGATGGTAGAGGGCATATTCCTCCTTAGCACCGCAGTTGAATATTTACATTGTCCATGCTATCAACATTCGAGCCTTCCTTACAAAGGGTGTCATCAGACAGGCATTTGTCCCATACTTTGGTCTGGATTGGTGACACGTCCGTTTGCTCCTTTTCCCATTGACCACATGACATATATGCTACCATAAACCAATCTGCCTCCAATCTATGCCTACCCACACCTTTTGGAGCCCCTGCCAGGGTGTTTTGCTCTAGGTTTTTAAAGTGCAGGTAGTATTGAGTTACTCTTTAAGGTGTGGTGTGTTTGTTTGCTTGATTTTTTAAATTTTGTTTTTATTTTTGTCTGGATGTGCCTGTATGGACTTGTATGGCTGCTTCTGTGCAAATTTTGGTATGTACCAAATATACATTATGAATTGTATATTAAAAGAAAACCAGTAAATAATTAGCAATAAAACATCAATAGAATGATACATTTTAGATGGTGTGGAATTGAAGTGGTTAGCTTTAATATCCCTGCAAGAATATAAAAAGTATTTACAAAATTGCTTAAGAAATGTCCTGAGTCTTTGATGCAGGATGAGGTTTGGACAAACTTCATCCTACATTGGACAAACCTCATCCTACATCAAAGACTCAGGACATTTCATAAGCAAGATCAGCACCCTAAAACTCAACCCTGGGGACAGACTGATCAGCTTTGACGTAGTATCCCTGTTCACTCAGGTACCGATAAAGGACACTCTGAAACTCATCCAGCAGATGTTTCCAAAAGACATCAAGGCCCTTTTCCAACACTGCCTAATGACCAGCTACTTTCAGTGGGATAATGAATTCTATGAACAGAGAGATGGAGTGGCCAGGGGGAGCCTCCTTAGCCCGGTTACAGCAAATGTCTACATGGAACATTTCAAAAAAACAGGCCCTGGCTTCGGCCCCCTTCACACCCACAATCTGGTTCCAATACATGGATGACACCTTCGCAATTTGGAACCACCGTGAAGAAAAACTAGAAGAATTTCTAAACCATCTTAACAGCATCCACCTAAATATACAATTCACCATGGAAAAAGAAATAAGAGGGACAACTCCCTTTCTTAGATGTCATGGGCATATGCAAAACTGACCTCCTATTGGCACACAAGGTCTAAAGAAAACCCACCCACACAGACCAGTACCTACACAAGAACTCCAACACCACCCATGACGAAAAAGAGGCATAATCCAAACACTGGTAGATCGTGCAAACTGGAACTGTGAAGCTCAATTTCTCTGCACCGAACTCAACCATCTGAATTGGACCCTACAGGTGAATGGCTATTCCAAGAATGAAATCAAAAGAACCATCAAAGCAAGAAAACAACACCAAACTGAAGAGGAAAAACAGCCACCCACAAATAAAGTATTTCTGCCATACATCAACGGAGTCACGGACTGCATGGGGAAACTTTGGGAAAAACACAACCCAGAAACAGTATTCAGACCCACCACAAAAATACAACAAATGTTACAGTCAGCAAAGGACAAAAGGGACCCTCTCACCACTGCAGGAGTATACCAGATACCTTGCAGTTGTGGACAGATATATATTGGAACCACAAAATGCACCATTCACACCAGAATCAAAGAACATGAGAGACACTGCAGACTAAAACAACTGGAAAAAAATCTGCAGTAGCTGAATATGCCTTAAAACAAGCTGGACATGAAATTCTACTTCAAAACAATGAAGTACTGGACAACACCAGCAATCATTATGTTAGACTGCACAGGGAAGCCATTGAAATCCATAAACACCAGCAGAGCTTCAACAAAAAAGAAGAAAGTTTAAAACTCAACAAGGCATGGCTCCCAGTACTAAAAAAACACAGCCTGCAAAAGGTCAACGAACTCTACCCAGCCACAAGGACCAGGGATCATTGCACGCAAAAGACCAGCTAATGACACCCACCAATCACAGTGACAGATAATCTCTCCCCCTTATCACAACAATACATCCACAACAAAAACACACTGATCACCATAATCACCCAATCTCCTGAAAAGGACAAAAGCTGTTCCCACAGCTATAAATACTCAACTCTCAAACAAACCACAACAGTGCACGGATAGAGTTCCTACTCCTGTCCTCTGAAGATGTCAGCCACAGAGACTGGCAACACATCAGGAAGAACAACCTTCAGAACATGGCCAAAGAGCCCGAAAAACCCACAACAACCATCAGATCCCGGCTATGAAAGCCTTCGAAAATCCTATGGTTATTCTATCACATTTGAACCCATCATCGGCCTATGTCACAAACTAAATATATTAGATGTTAGTAGCCAACTTGCAACTCTTGCACTAAGAAGGGCATTTCCAGTTGTGATTCTAGCTATGAACCAAACAAAGGAACATTTGCAATGGCACCTTCCAGTCCAGCCAGTCTGCTATACAGATTTCTAACTTAGTTACCTCCTTCATATCCCTCATGGGCTGCATTAAGTACCAGAGCAAGTCATATTTCTCAGGATCCCATGAATAGAATGGCCAGGAGCCAACTGAATGACGTTAACACTTGGGCGGGGGGGTCTGGAACAGAATGTCCTGACTTCAGTTGCCTGGTTTGGGGGCAGAGACCAGCTGCTTCAGACAGAGAATCTGAGCTGCCCATCCACAACGGGCGCACTCACCACCTGATGCCTACTTACTGGGGCTACATTAAGGGCAAAAGTATGAGATGTTGGCGTGGGAAGCTGATGCTTCAAATTTCATATTCCCAGCCAGAAACAGCTTCTCTAATGGCATCCCACCATGCAACTTGCTCTGCCCTCCTGCTGTTGCCACCTCCTTTCCATCTGCCCGACAGGAGAGAGAACTAAATCAACTGGAAATTACCTTTCCCTCCCATGTTTCTCAGCTAGCAAAATGGCTGGCTCTGGCTTTGCATGAGCCCTAAACACCAAGGAGAATAAAGGACCCCAGTGAAAAGCTGCATGGTGACCTGTCTAACATGCAAGACAGCTTACTTCTTTGTTGGATGGACCACCTCCTACAAACTGATTCAATTCTCATTATGTGTTATATGACAAGAACAAAACAAAAACTAAATCAAAAATGCTATGGCACCTTAAAGACCAACTATTTATTTCAGTGTGATATAGTTTCCATTTATATCCATTTATTTGACCTGCTTATACGCTTGATAATTCAGTGTATTCACGGTGTATCCATTCACAAAATAAATGGACAAAATGCAGCATAATAAAGAAATTGAAATTGTTAGAGATTCTGTATACTTTGGTTCAATTGTCAATCCAAATGGAGAGTGGAACTAAGACATCAGAGAAAGACTGAGACTCAGAAGTGCAACAATGAAGGAATTAGAAACGATAATCAAGTGTATGGATGTGTCACTGGAAACCAAAGGCCAGGCCCTAGGCTTTCAGGTATTTTCAGGCATTTGGCCCTCTTCCACCTCCCTCATTCTTTCATCCCACTACAGCTGACAGTCCTAGGGCGCCTCAGCAATATATATATTCATGGGCCCTTAGTCCCTGTGGGGCCCCAAGCTGTCAGCCCAGTGAGTCTTATGAATAATACTGCTTTGTGGAGATCAAGACAAAGATAATCCACACTACTGTACTCTTGGTCACTATGTACAGGTGTGAAAGCTAGACAGTAAAGAAAGTTGACAGGGAAAAAGAACAACGAGTGTAGCGGATAGCCCAGATGTCACCTGTCCATCACTGCGGAACCATGATGGGAGAGCCAATAGAGACCAGAAGGCAGGGCCCGGAGAGTTGTGGGATCGGAAAAAAGAGAGGAGGGGTGCTGGAAAAAGGGTGAGAGAGCTGGAGGCTTGGAAATTGGACAAGGAGGGTCAGAGATAGATAGAGAGAGAGTTAAAAGAGTGATTTGAATGGGGGTCAGAGATAGATAGATAGATAGAGAGAGA